TCGCCCTGAAGAATTAGAAGGATACGAGAGGGTACAACACCCTCTGTTGATTCAAACGAATGGCGGATGAGATGAACCATGACCACGAGAAGCTGTTAAGGCCACTAAGGAATCAGAAATTTGAACCGATTGAAGTTCTCTGGCAGCTTCATTTGCTATATTTGTTTCCTCACTGCACAACAATAAGTAGAAATCGTCCAAACTCAGGGGTTAAAGAGTAGTTCCAATTGTTGTCTTGAATGACTGATAGGAAGAAGGAAGGCCATTAAGAGTATATAATAGATGTCTTCTGGATCCAGAACACATCCTACGGCTGTTATAATATCAACTTTCAATTTAATTTCAGATAACATAGCTATATAGTTTTGTTATGCATTGATATATGATGTAACTCATTCTTTAACTGAATTATGCGAGAACGATTAGTAGATTGCAGCCTTTTCTCAATAGTACTCCTTATTTCAGCACAGGAATCCAAATTCAAGATGCATGGCAGCAGTGATGGAGTCACTATGGAGAATAATGCAGCTGCCACATTTTGATCAATAAGTATCCAAGTGGAATAAAGGTAATTAAGAATGACTTCTCTAATTGTAGAACTTAGTTATCGAGGAGGGAGAGAAACTATGCCAATCAAATACCCTTAAAAGCCATTTTGCTCGAAACACCTTAAGGACTTGAGACCGCCAGGTAAGATGGTTCTCCGATGTTAGTTGAACAGTAATAACAATTTTAATGCTGGACATTAAGAACTTAAGCTGTCGTGGAATTGATAGACTGCCAGCCAAAGGAGTAACCTCCATATTACTACTCATAGAAGTCTCTGAAGCCATGGTTTTGCCAAACAAAAGTCGGATCTTTGAAGCAGTAAAACCGTGAAGCTTATGCATGCTCTGATACCATGAAAATTGATTTGGGGAAGAAATGCAATTTCAGAAAAACAAACATTGCTTCCACATTCTAACCTGAAAGAACAAAGATAATAAAGAGAAACAAAGAAACATGGATAGGACAGGAAATCAGAATTCTCTATTACATACTTTTCACTAAATAGTACAAACTATATATATTGAGAAGAGGAGAATATAATAATCATCAGTGCTTGTTATAAACTAAAGATTATGATTAAGAGAAAGGCTGGAAATAAACGGTGAGGATGAAAGCTGCAGAAGTAGTGGCAAACATAGAAAGTGAGGGCAGCAGCTATCACTGTCATGATTCGGTTAACAATTTTAAGGAAATTGAAAATTTGAATTCTCCCTCTCATTTGCATGCGAATTCAAAATTTATATGTGCTTAAATTGAATGTTTGAACGCTCTGATCAAATATAAGCCTTTGTAAATACTTTTTGGTATCCTTGACAAAACTTAGAGGGACAAAAACTCTGAGAATATGAAAGAGAACAAGGTAATTCATTTAGGACTTGAACTTAATAAGACAAATCCTTTGAACATGAAGAAGAAAACTATAACTGCTTATGTCAGGATAAAATTTAGGGCTACATCTAGTTCTAGTGTCTCTATGATTTCCCCTCCAAATCCTAATATAGATTGCACAACAAAGGCTTTTATTCGAGCTCTAATTCATAAATTTGTTTATGTAGCTCTAATTGGATCATCCGATAATGGAATCATGGCTTCTCTTTAAAGAAATTCTTATATCCATGATGAACTTTTTAAATATATTTTAGTGAATCATTTTTATTTATGGAATTGATGGACTTCTTCTAATTAAAATAATGAGTTTCTTTTTATTTCTTAGAATCGTTATAATTGTGGACAATTTTGGCCTTGAAGATCATCCAAGAATAACCTCTTTCATCGGTTTTCCTGGCTTATAATGATTTTCTTTGGCCTTCTATGAAAATATATTCAATTGTTTGTATCTTTTGAAGGAGGCCTTTCTTTCTTGATGATAGTTATGACTACAAGTTGGAACTCATACTATTTAGTGTGAGATGGTATTTTAGTTTGTGCTTCATCAACTTCTCTTTCTTTTTGGTTTTCTCAACCAAGGAAGGGAGAGATTCTTTCATAAAGATAATGTTGGAGTTTATGAATTCTTATTAACTTCTTTTAGCATGTGCCCTTCAGGCATTGTTTAAAAAGGTGCTTCAAGAGCGCACCTCAAGAAATGTATCAAACTAAGCAACACAAAAAATGCTTGAGGCTTGCACCTTAAATGTTGCCAATGAGACTTGCACCTTTTTTTAGACAAGGCGTAGTGTCTCAATTAGTTAATGTTAAATATTTATAATAATGTATTATATAGCTAATATATCATATATTATATTATACTTAAATGTCTTATTTTATATATATTATATATTTCATTAGGTCAGACAGCCCCATTCAACTCTAGATTTAGTTCGGGCATCTCATCTATGTGCGATTGTAAGGTTGGTTGAGTGATGGTCGTGGTCGAGCGAGTCATGGTCGAGTGAGAGGTTCCGAGTTCATCTTTCAAAATGTGTGAGTGCAAAAGCAGAGATGAGAGATTAGTCTACATGTTGATCAAGAGTCTCATTTTTTGAGAACATTTTTCTTTTTATTATTATGCAATTTTGTAGTTTGTCTTAATGATAAACTAAATAAATATGCTGATGGTGAATATCATATTTATGAATTATTCTTTATTTTATGAGCTTTTTTTTCGATGCTTATGCCTTGATCAGCCTCAAAGCCTACACCTTAAGGCAAAACCTCTTAGTTCTACATTTCTCCTTCTTAAGCCTTGCTTTTAGGAAATTATGTTGTTTTGCTTTGTAGCTATATTTAGTTCAATAGATTTTTTCTTCTCATTAGTATAAATTGGCATTTATGTAATTCTCGTCTACTTTTTAATGATAAAAGAGCTTGCACTTGGCTTTTTCAAAAAGGGGAAATCTTTTTTTTTTCAAAGCACAACAATGAACCTTTTTTTGAATAATTGTTATAAACATCCCAACGGGATTGAAAAAAAAGAGATATGTTTGATGTAGATCTTTAATAACATCCTATTATGATTAGGAGACTTTTGTTCACCAAAGAAGGTTGCACCTATTATATGGAGCTCCTGCTAGTATAGTTTTTGGGTATGGGTTGTTGTATGCAATATTACCCGTCTTAGAAACTCTATAATACAATAGAGGCCAATTAACCACTAAAGGCCCACCCTCCCCTTAGTTCACTCCACAGCAGATTCTGATATTATTCATGCATTCCATTAAAAAAAACCATTCATTAAAATAAAAACCCAAAAATCAAGTTATTATTTGTTTAACTTGGTACAGTGTACTCTCATCTGGTTGCGGCAATTTTTCGTTTTCCAACCTGATTTTATGGTGATGCTTGGGGGGTTGGTCCCATCCTGACACTTTTATGTTTTGTTTTATTTTGTTTTGGCTCTCTTGATTACCTTATAGGTTTTCTTTGTTACTTGTAATTTTCTTTCATTAATTTACGTTTTAGATATCTTGAATCTATTGTTCAGAGTGATGGTGAAATAGATGGGATATTATCAGCAGAATTCAAGTTGGATGGTTAAAGTAGAGGAATGCATCGGGCTTGTTGTGCGATAGAAAAGTCCCCCTTAAACTTAAGGGAAAATTCTATAAGATGGTGGTGAGACCTGCAATGCTTTATGGTGTCGACCGTTGGCCATTAAAAGAGAAGCATAATACTAAGTTAAGTGTTGCAGAGATGATGATGCTTAGGTGGATGAGTGGCTTTACCCTTATAGATAGGATACAAAATGAGCATATATGTCAAAAGGTTGGAGTTGCTCCAGTAGAAGATAAGATTAGAGAGAGTCGACTTAGATGGTTTGGTCACATTAAACAGATGCCTTTCGATGCCCCGATTAGGAAAGTTGAGGTATTAGATTTGACTTATGTTAAGAAAGGCAGAGGTAGACCTAAAAAGACATGGTTAGAAAATATTAGAAATAATCTTTCTTTATTATATTTAAATGAGAATTTAACTTTTAACATGACATAATGACGAAAAAGGATTAATGTAGCCGACTCCATGTAGTAGGCCAAAGAATTGATGTTGTTGTTGTTGTTGTAATATACAAGCTTTACCTCAAAATTTCCCAAAAAAAAATACACACACCAAAAATAATAATTACATTTTCTTCTTACATCATCATTAAGAAACTAAAGTTGAATTTGAAAAGGAGACGCAAATTTAGTCCTTTATTTTTATAATTTACGTCTAAATAATTAAGGGAAAAACTAAAATTGTCATAAAAGCTGCAAAATGTGATGCGATATGTTAGGTCTACTTGCAGTCTGACTGCAGGGAGCTACTATGATTGTGTGGCACTCAAGCCTGCTAACTTGTCACGATGGTGAAGCCGCAACTGGCAACTCATCAGCTATCCTTTCTTTTTCTATTCTGACATCACCCACTACTAGCAGAAGCCAGAAATCTTTGATTTTCTTAGCATGTGAATCCATTTCTGTTTCTATAATTCTTTCTTTTTTGTGGGGGAAATTATTTCTATAATTCAAATATATACAGATATATATTATATATTATCCACAGACAGAAAAATAAACTAGATGAACTTCGACCAGTCTGCGCTCGAGCATAATACATTATTAAATATAGAACATATTACTAAATTACACGACTAAGCTAAATAGCAAAACATGGTCTAAGAACGAAGAATAAATACAAATTACTTGCAAAGCTTAATAAAAGAAGCTAAAATTCCAGACTAAGACTGTATAAAGTATAAACAGGAAAGAACAATTACAGTGTGGAATTATCATGGAAATGAACGCATGAAAAATCGACAGGATTCATTCAGGAAGATTCCCCAAAATAAATTGCGCATAACCTCAACAAAGTAAGAACTCCTCCTAAGAATATTACAAGACAATGTCCATTCTCAGAGATTAAACGCGGAACAGTGATTAAAATAAGCGTTTAGGGCAAATTTTTGCTTGGCAAGAATATTAAATGACGAGTTAATTCAGATCTATGCTTAATATACAAGTAAGATGACTTACAGCCCGCATGTTTTGACTCGAGAGTTAAGACAAACGTAAATTGGCTTATCAAGCATCTTAAGCCGTCAAACAGTGTTAGGGCAAAACGCCAGAATATTAAGCTTGATGAGGGCCTGCAGAGTTCTATCCTTTTTTCCATGATCGCGTTGGCGAGCCTTCCTTCGCCTTTTCCCTTTACGCGTGCAGCAGCATTATCGTCTCCGTCACCGGGGCGGTCGCCGCCGCGGCTGGGAAATTCCATTTAGGCGATTATTTACTAAAGGATTCCGCAATAGGCGCGTCGCTGCCGTACCATAACTATAAAGTTTTGGACGCTAATTGGATAACTAAAAGATCTCCAAATCTTATATGATTATATAATCAAATCAAGCATTTTTAAAGGGTAATTAAAAGATATTTAAATCTTATATATTATAATCAAATTGAGTCTTGCTCAGACAAACCAAATAAGTCTAAGACTGCTTAAAATTAAGGCACATAAATATTAAAAAACACTATATGATATTTGTAAGCATTAATATTATATATTTTTATGCAACTTATATTGAAATATTTTTCCCTAATGATATGTGATAATTCAAGATGATATAGATTTCATTTGGGATAATTTTTTACTATTTTTAAAGCATTTTTTTAGTAAAAAATATACAATTAATTTTAGTGACATTTAAAATATAAAGTAAATTAATATAATTCCTGAAATCTTATAATATTTTGATAAATATATAATGAATTTTTAACTAGTTGTCTTACTATAAAAGAATTAAAAGGCCAGCTAATGCACTCTAATTAATGTATTAATTTATTTTATTTATTCAAACCATAAAGATTTTTTTTTATATGTGCATCTTTTATTATCCATCCTAAGCAAGGGCACCCCCAACCGAATGTCAAATATGTGTATGGCGTTGTTCGGTCGTTCCAGTTGAATGTCAAATCTTTCGCTATTTGCTTGCGGGTGAACAGTGACCCGCTATATGTGTTTTTTTAATTTGAAAAATTAGTTACTAATTTTAAAATTTTAAGTATGAGAAAGAATATACTATGAATATTCTCTTTTTAGTGTTAGGAAATGGAATTTTGTTGAAGACAAGTTACTGCACATTGATGTATTACGGCATTTTGAAGTGAAAAATAATTTTTTTTCCGTTGGAGATGCCCTAAGCTGTGTAAATCTATATTTTAATATTTGATATATCTACCACATATATAAGTTCTTCTGATCACCTCTTCAATATAAATATTTCTCAACTACCTTATCAATTTTTATTGCACACAATCACATCATATTCTTATTTCTGTAATACTCATCATGATTATCCATAGCTTATCACCCAAAGCTTTAATATTTATAGTATTGTCAGTCTACTTATAATCTTGTTATATTTATCTTTATTTTTTTTAATTTTATCCTCTTATATTCAACATAATCTTAGATTAAATTTGACCTAAATACTCTAGAAATTAAAGAATATTCTGTGTTGCATCTTTTATCTCTTTCATTTAGTGTATTTAATTGTGAAAAGCACATGGCTTTAGCTCTCATATGTTAGACAATGATAATGACATTATGATAGAAAAAAAATAACTGTCTAATTTTAAAATGGTAATTTAGAAATGAATATGATCTCATGAAGTAATTGTAAAAGTGATCAAATACAAAATTTCATGCCTTCACATCAAAAATTTAGGCTTCGTTCGGGACGGTTTCTTTACTATTTTCTAAAACAGTAAGAAAGCCGTTCCAAACGAAGCCTTAGACTTCGGTTGGGGCAGCCTTCTTACTGCTTCATAAAGCAGTTTTTTAGTACAGAAAAAAATAATTTTTGTACTAGAAAGATGCTTTAAGAAGCAGTAAAAAAACTGTTCTAAACGAAACCTTAATTATGTAATTCCTATATGATACCACCGGCATCATTTAGGCCACCTCTAAACAAGTCCTCCATTGCCAATAACTAACAAAAGCAACTGTGAGTTAATTCTCTAAACTTCCATTCATTGGCATGAGAAGTAAAATGTGGAAGAAGAAGAAGATGATGATGATCCTTCCATGCAGTCAATAGCCTTCTTTTTACTGAGCTTTGAAGCTGGATGGTTTGATTTTCAGAGAGGTTAGGTTAAATTTTAGGGTTGATAGGTAGCAATTTATAGAGTTCTATCCGTGATAGCAAATTTACAAAGATATTACATAGAAATTGCAAAGAAGAATTTTGTCATTATTTTTATAAGATTTTTCCATGTTATTCCATAAACGTTATGGATTAATAATACTCATGAAAATAATCACTGAAAAAAAGAAGAAGAAAATTTAATGTCAAGCCAGAGGTAAAAAACAACTTTTGTTCTCTTCTCTCCTTAGATTTCCATTATTTAAGTGAAATAATGGCAATGATTGACCAATTTAACTGGCTTTTAAAGCCTTTTATTTCACTGTCAACAGTTTACATGAACAGCTTTGATGAATTAAATTGCAGATCCACTTGAATTAGTTGATCTATGTTCAGAGTGCTGTGCTGTGGTCCCTTAACATATCAATGTTCATATCTCAATCCAAAGGCTCATAACTTTTAAGTGGCCAACTGGCCAACAACACCTGACTGGTTGCCTGTACCGTCATCAAGAAGACCAACCAAACTATTCCACCATTCTTTTTCTAAAAATTAATACTGCATTGTTTCAGTTCAGCCAATTCATGTGCTTCTTCTGCTCCTTTTCTTCAGACAATTTCTTTCACTGTTTACCAATGTCTTGATGCCGTGCACTTGATATCTTTTGATAGGGGATTCTTTTCTTCTCTGTGACTCTGTGAGGTTAAGAAGAAAAAGTTAAATTGTATTCAAATTATATTTTTTATTTTGTTCTGTGGAACATATCACAGTCTATAGCTTAGAAATAGGAGTTACTTCAAAGGTAAGTTCATGTTATGATGAAGTTATATGTATATGCTCAATTGATAGTAATGATATTGTTGTTGTAAGTAGATTTTATTAGGATACAACAATAACAACAACATCAAGTCTTTATCCTACTACGTGGGGTTGGCTACATGAATCATTTTTCTCCATTGTATTCTGTTAAGAGTCAAATTCTCATTTAAATCTAATAAAAAAATATTATTTCTAATATTTTCTAATCAAGTCTTTTAATGTTTACCTTTACCTCTCTTAACATAAGCCAAATCTAATACATCTAGACTCCTAAACCAGTCATCAGAAGGTCGACATTTTATGTTACCAAACCATCTATAGAGACTCTCTCTAACCTTATCAGTCACTAGAGCTACTCCAATCTTTTCACATATATACTTGTTCTGCATTCTATCTCTAAGAGTAAAGCGCCACTCATCCACCTGAGCATCCTCATCTCTGCAACACTTAATTTTATGTTTCTCTTTTAACGACCAACATTTTGCCCCATAAAGTATTGCAGGTATCACCACTATCCTATAAAATTTCACTTAATTTTTAGGGTATTTTTCTATCACACAACAATCTTGATGCATTTCTTCACTTCAACAATCCAACTTGAATTCTACTAATAATATCATCATCTATTTCACCATCAGTACTCTGGACAATAGATCTGAGATATCTAAAATGTATACTTTTATTAATGACTTGATTACTCAAAGTCGCAATCATTATATTAGATCTATTATTACTAAAATTATATTCCATGTATTCGATTTTAGATCTACTCAAACAAAAATTTTAGACTCTAAGGTTGACCTTCATAATTCAAGTATACCTTCAACTCCCTCGTTAGTCTTATCAACAAAAAGAATACCATCAACAAAAAGCATACAGACGAAGGTACCTCCTCCAACAAATGTCTAGTAAAAACATTCATGACTAAAGCAAAAAAGATATGGGCTTAAATCTATTCCTTAATGTAATCCAACTAAAATAGGAAAATACTTGGTCTAACCAAGTCCTGCTTGAACACAAATAACAGCTCCTGCATACATATCCTTAATGACTTGAGTATAAGCATTATTTGCCCCTTTTTTTTCTTAAACTCTCCATAACACTTCACTTTGAACTTTATCATAAGCTTTCTTTAAATCAATAAATATCATATGTTGATCCTACTTATTCTCCCTATACTTCTCCATCAAACCTCTCAATAAATGTATACTTCCATAGTAGATCTATCTAACATCTATCCAAATTTATTATGAGAAACATTAGTACAATGTCGTAATCTATGCTCAACAACTCTCTCCCAAAGTTTTAAAGCATGACACATTAACTTAATTCATTTATAATAACACACACTCTTGTGCGTCACATTAATTCTTTAAAATAGGAATCAATATACTCCTTCCTCACTCATTTGACATCTTTTTAGGTTTCAATATAATATTTAAAAGTTTCATAAGCCATAAATTTTCTTCATCACTTAAGCATTTCCACACCTCTTATGAATTATCACCAAGGTCCAACAGCTTTTCCACACTTCATTTAATTTGCTTTTAATGCCTCTTTATTTTTGGTTTTACTAATTCGTCGATAAAAAATAAAAATATCTATTTTTATTTAGGGCGCTAAGGTCACTAAAGTCAATTATATTCTCACAATATTCTATGAAAAACTAATAAAAATATCTCATCTATCTTTATTGAATATCCTCTTCTGATAAAAGCACTTTTTTATATTCATTTCACTGGAGCCAGATCTTTATTTCTCATAACTCTTTGCTTGGCTAATCTATACATACATATTTCACCCTCCTTAGCATTAATCTATTATATAAATCATTAAAATCTAAATTTTTTACATCACAAATTAATTTTTTAGACTTCTTACAAGCCTCTTTATATATTTTTCAATTATTTTGTTTTTACATCTAAATGAATTTTCATAACAAAGATTATTATGTTTGATCTTTTCTTGCACAATTTGATTCCATTACTTACTATTTTTAATATTAGGAGTTTTTTTTAATACTCAAGCACATCCTTTGCAACATACTTAATATAATTAACTATTTTTCCACATAACATTAACTTTCTCATATATAGTTTGAATCTTAAAATCTAGAATCTTCCTGTCAAAAATATTTTTGTTTGTGTTAATTAAATGTCCCCATCTAAACCAAGAATAATATTTTTATTTTATTTTTTGTATTCTGCCCCTTCATCTTAAAGTCCAAATCTAATAAGTGATGCTGAGTACATAAATTTTTACTTGAAATAATTTTATAATCTTTGCAATTTAAACTATTTATTTTTCTTATAAAAAAATAATCAATCTATGTTTTATTATACTCATTCTTGTAAGTGATGAGATGCTCATCTCTTTTCTTAAATAATGTGTTAGCAATTAAAAA